AAAGAGAGAAGAACTGAAAGATTAGAATTGTGGAATGAATAAACCATGGGCTGCCCGAAGGAGCAGATCAATTGTTAAGTGTCACTAAGCTGGCTTTCACAGTGATCATTTGTACAACAGAAAATCCTACTAGATATTCTGCCTTCTCATGGTCTCTGGGTGCTTCTGACCACTGTTACCATCCCTGCACCAATGCCTCTTCCTGAGCATCTGCCCCTTTGCTTAACCTCCACTTTTCCAAGCAAGATGTCAAACTAACCACTTCTGAACTCAGATACTGGTAGGAGCAAAAAAAGCATACTCTGAAATACTAAAAAGCTGGAGCAAGGCTTTCAAAGGTCAAAAAGATGATCTTAGTTCATTTGAAACTAGAGGAGAACTGAAATAAATTAAACCTACAGCCCTGCCCAGGTTAACTGGACTAGAGATGGAATTCAAATATTATGGCCTTCCCTGAGGTACTGGGAGATGTACCATCAATGGGAGAGATACAAACAAAAACTATACTCTACTTCAAAATTTACCATTCTTATCTTGTATAAAACACATTAACAAACACAAATCTTGAAAGATATTGAGGGAGGAACCCCACCAACCGCAAACCTTTCAAACTCATTGACACTGGGTTGCAGGTAAATCATTGGTGCTCCCCGACTGGGTTTGCAATGCAGGACTAGAACCAGCAGAGGCACAGACTTTGAGCCATAGGTGCAACACCCCATTCATTAAGTTACCAGAGTTCCACTGAGACATCCAAGGTAAAATAAAATATGACCCACAATCAAAAGGAAAGGATCCCTTGTGGTGGTTCCATTATGTACAGAGCTGCTAACCAAAGTTTAGCTGTTCAAAGTCATTGAGCTGCCCTACAGAAGAAAGACTTGGTGACCTGCTTCCAAAAAGATCACCACTTGGGGTCACTATGTGTTAGAACAGACTCAGTGTTACCCTATAACAAAAACATTCCAGAAGGAAAAAATAATAGAGAATTCTGTTAGCAACTAACTTAGATGCTGGAATTAGAAGAAAAGGATTTTTAAATAATTATAATAATTAAGTCAAAGAACTTATAGAAAATAGGTAACATTTCAAAAAAGAAATGAAACTCTAGAGAAAAACACAAACATTGGAAGATGGGAAAAAAATAAATGAAGTAAAAAATATATTCGTTATTGTTGGGTGTCCTAGAGTATGACTTATCACAAGGCTATGAACAACAAATCTGAACCCTGGCCTATCCTGTGCTGTCCTTATCACCCCCAACACACTGAACTCACTGTTGCAGATACTGTATCAATCCATCTCACTGAGGTTTTTCCTTTCTTTCACTGACCCTCCAACTTTCCAAGCATGATGTCCCTTTCCAAGGAATAGCCTCTCCTAGCAATATGCCCAAACTATTTAATATTTAAGATAAAGCTTTATCATCCTTGCCTCTAAGGAGCACTCTAGTTGCACTTCTCTAAAAGATACCTATTCTTCTGGCAATCCATAAGCTGTTCAGTGCTCTTCTGCAACACCACAACTCAAAAGGCATCAATGATTCTTTTGTCCTCATTTTCACTGCCCAGCTCTCAGATGTATAGCATGTGACTGGAAAACCTGTGGCTTGAGAAATATACTAGGCAGGCCTAATAGCAGACTGCTTCAGGGAACACGAATGAAAAAAATGGCAATGCTTTAGTGAATACAAAAGAACAGAGTGTCAGAAACTTACATGGAACAACATAAAAACAAATATACGACTAACAAAAATCACTGAAGGAACAAATAAGAAATAGATAAAATATATGGATATTGGCTTTAAAAATATTTTTAAAAATTAATGAGTTTTTGGAGTCTACATAAAAAAATGCTGGGCACCTTCAAACAGGATATTATAAAGAAAGCCATATGTAGATACGTGTGGCATCAGGATTGGTGGAAGATTTACTAACAATCTATGTTATGCAAATGACAAAACCCTGCTTGAGGAAACTGAGGAGGACCTGAAACGCTTGCTGCAGAGGGTCAAGGACTGCAGCCTTCAGTATGGACTGAGGCTCAATGTCAAGAAGACAAAGATTCTCACCCACTGGACCAATTGGCAGCATCAGGATCTATGGTGAAGAGATTGAGATTGTTAACAACTTTGGTCTGCTTGGCTCCACGGTAAACACTCTTGGCACCAGCAGCCAGGAAATCAAAAAACATATTGCAATGGGAAAGTCTGCTGTTAGGGACCTCTCCAAAGTACTGAAGAGCAATGGTGTCACTCTAGAGACTACGGTGCTTTTGATACAGGCCATGCATGGTCTTTGCAATCACTTGTTATGCATCAGAGTGTTGGACAATGACTAGGGAGGATAGAAGGAGAACTGATGCCTTTGAGCTATGGTGCTTGAGAAGAGTACTGAATTTACCATGGACTGCCAAGAAAACAAACAGATTCATCTGGGAGAGGGTAAAACCAAGCTTCTCCTTGGAGGCAAGGATTCTGGGGCTTCATTTGACATACTCTGGTCATGTAAGGAGGGACAGGTCCTTGGAGAGGCACATCATGCTTGGGAGGGTGGAGGGACGGCAGAAGAGGGGAAGACCCTCTATGAAGTGGATTGATTCAGCGACTGGGGTAATCGGAATGGGTGTGTCAGGGGCAGTGCGACTGGCACAGGATAGAGCATGGTTTAGGGCTGTTGTACATAGGGTCGCTATGAGTCACAGTGAATCAACGGCACATAACAACAACAACAACAACAACATGTAGATACATTAAAACCAAACCAGTTGAAAGTCAAATATAAAAAGAGAATTCAAGAAAAGACATGTTCCATTGAAGAAAACAGCAATAATTTATCAAACAATGGATAACAGAAGACAATAGAATGTCATCATGAAAGTGTTTAAAGAGAAAAATACCAACCCAGAACTCTCCAAAAAATGTGCTTTTAAAAAAATACAAGTAACAAGCAGAAGACAAAATAACAAGAGTTTTAGACAAGTTAGAATTTGTTGTCAGCCGATCTTTATAACAAAGCTAAATAGTTTTAAGCCTGAAGAGAAATTAAAGCAGATGGGAAATGCAGATGTGTTGAGTGAAACAAAAAGCAAGTGAAAAACGAAACAGAAATTTCCAGTTGTTTAGGGTTAAAAGATATTAACAAGGATGGGAATTTGGAGATGGAGGATAAAGTATAGGAATCTACATGTGCAAAAGCCCTGAGCAATGTAAAACAATAATGCCTTCTATCACCGGGGCCTTCTAGGAGCCAAAAGAAGGCTGGTCATTAGGGCTGGAGCCAAGAATGGGGCCTGGAGAACAACACTGACAGCCACAACTACAGTCCGTCAGGGCTAAGTCATCTGCTCTAATTGAACTTCCCAGTCACCCATAAGGGCTGCACAACCTGTTTCCTCCCCTAAAGCCACAGTTAATAACATGGTACAATTTGCTAGTTAAGTCTATATCACCACAACTATAATTCCAATTCTAATCACATTTCATTTTAGCTTTTCTTAAGGAGATGCTGTCTAAGCATGCTTAAACAAACCACCAAGTATCTGAAGACTATGGGGGGGGAAAAGCATCAACCCATGGGGCCCTGTTAATGGTCAGTTCTACTTTGTCCTGTCAGATCATTTTCACTGTAATCAACTCAACTCCAGTGAAATTGGTACTTGATTTGTTTCTATATAGTGACAGTAACAATTTTCCATTAATTTTGATACTCATGCAGCATAGCATTGTTCCTTATAAATTCTTTTTAATCTTTAACAAGAGAATTCAGATTGTTTGGTTGACTTTTCAGGCTGGCATCCTGGGTGCACAGCTGCTAACGGGAAGGTCAGTGGAAGACTAACTTAATTCACCATCCCTGAGTTGGAGTTGATTCATAACTGACTTTCCAGAGGGTTGTCAGGAGGCTGTAAATCCCGTGGGAAGAGAATGCCCACTGGTGGAATCAAACTACCAGAGGGGCATAGTGTTTAGATTAATGGCACACATCACCAGAGCTCCTACGGGGGACACAGGTGGCAGTCTGCTTCTCTAACATCACAACCTTGGGAACTCTATGGGGCAGTTCTGCTCTGTCCTATTGATAGCTGTGAGTCACAATTGACTCAACGACAATGAAGTATACACTGAGAGGGGCCCCAGTGGCACAAAGGTGAAGTACATGGCTGCTAACTGAAAACCCAGTGGTTCAAATTCACAGAGCTCTGTGGGATGAAGTCCTTGGCGGCCCACTTTCCTAAAATACAGCCTGGAAACCCTATAGTATCTAGTGAAGGGTACCCCAAAAGACTTTTCTGTCTAACAGTCTTTATACTATAACTAGGTTTCATATTTTTCACTGCTCTCTTTCCTCCAAACAGTTCATAGTAATACTCAGTGCTCCTTTCTTCCAACATTAAGCAGCTATTTCTGATTTCTTAGGTCATTCTCAGACTTGGTGCTCCAAAATGCTTTCTAGTACACACTATCAAAATGTACAGCATCCACACTCATGAAAAGCCAAGGAATTCTTCTTCCTTTCTGTCAGAACTTTAACTGTAACTATCAACTGATATCATGTTGCAATAATTTGTCAAAGACTTTAATCTACAAGCCCATGCTAGCTGCAAATTTTTATGATTCTAATTCCCAAGTATTTACTGGTTCCATATCCAATAGTAACCTACTCATACAAAGAGAAAGAAGTTTAACCTTGACTCTGCAGTGAAACGCTGGGATAAAGACGTTTAAAGCTTTGTAACATGTGCTTATTCAAATACTACAGACTGTACCTTAAGTATTTAAGTTATCTTAAAACAAAGGTTGATATTTCAGAGTTGAATCAAAATAAGATGATTATACATTTCAAAAGTGCAAGTGGAGATTAAATTTAAATAAATTAAAGAAATTTTTCTTTCTTTATGTACAATTTCCTATATTTATTATTTTTTTAACTATCCAAACAAAAATCTGTATTTTGCAAAGCAAACTCCTGAAATATTTTGCAATTAGTTTTTTAACCTACCTCTCCATGATTGAAAAAGAAGCATAACACTGTAACCAGGCCTCCTAACCGGCTGCCACTGAAAAAGAGAGTAAGAAAATGTAATTAAGTAACAGAAAGTCAGGTCAATACAAACAAAACCTTGAAATAAGTATAAGTATCAAATCTGGAAACAGAACATGTTAACTTTCCAATAGTATAAAAGTTTTTATCCACATTACATGCTTATTAACAAGTAGTTTCTTTTCTTCAAAGCATCACTAGTAAAAATAAGTTTAATTTAAAAAATGTATTTTTCCATCTTTAAATGTACAAACTCAGAAAAGTACACAAACACATAATATAAAATCCTTAATCATCATTTTTCTGTAATAAAATGTATTCCCCTTTTTTTTCTTGACTCAAAACCACTGCTGACACATCAGTTCCCACTTACAGTGACATTGCTCTGGGCTTCCAAGTCAGAACGGGAGACTGCCCAGCTTTCTCCACAGAGATGCATGTGGGCGCAAACTGCCAAAGGTACACACACAGCCTTTGCGTTACAAGGACGACTCACTGTGGACTACACCACTGTTGCTGAGAGATGCCATCAAGTCGAGTGAAGACAACTCAGAGCTAACCTATGAACAACCAATCAGAACCCTGTCCTATTCTGTGCCGTCCTCACAATCTCTTACACACTCTATGTCAATCTACCTGGTTGGGGGTCTTCCTCTCTTTTACTAGCCCTCCACCTTTCCAAGCATGATATCCTTCTCCAAGGAATAACCTCTTATAGCAACAAGCACAAAAATGACTGTTTCTTTTTTTATTTAAGTAATAAAATTAGAATCTCTCAAACTATTTCCCTTGAAACACAATGGCATACATTAGACAAAAAGGTGAGAAAGCAGTGCTGAAAAGGGCTATATGATCATAAAGTGGGAACTGAACTCGATACAATCACCTGCACTTGGAAATTCACAAAGCACATAACAGATTTCATTTCATTCTGTTCTTCTCTAGCCACATGTCCAACCTACTTATCTACAGATATGCTTTGGGAATACCAGTGCGCAGACTAAATTTTATATTTTCTTGTTTCTAAAAAACATTAAAAACAGAACACAAATATTAAATGAAGTTACTACTTCACCTACAAAAATCACAATGGTAAATCCTTACATAGTGGAAATGATTTGCATTTGACGTTAACTTAAAGGCTAGTGGTTCAAACTCACGAAGCAGTACCACAGGGTGGGGGGAGAAAGGACTTTTGCTAAGATTATAGTCAAGAAAACTCTATGAAGCAGTTCTACTCTGTAACACACAGAATCAACAATGAACCTTCACCTGTTTCACCAGGAGTGAGGTGTGCCGTCAAGTCGCCTGCGACTCATAGCGACCCTATGTACAACAGCCCTAAACTCAGCTCTGTCCGGTGCCAATCGCACTGTCCCTGACACTCCCATCCCAATTATCCCAGTCACCGAATCAATCCACCTCATAGAGGGCCTTCCTCCCCTGCGCCGTCCCTCCACCCTCCCAAGCATGATGTCCCTCTCTAAGGACCGGTCTCTCCTCACAACATGTCCAAAGTAAGTTAGACGGAGCCTCAGAATCCTTGCCTCCAAGGAGCCACCCGGTTTAACCCTCTCCAGGACAAATCTGTTTGTTTTCCTAGCAGTCCATGGTATTCTCAGTACTCTTCTCCAGCACCACAGCTCAAAGGCATCAATTCTCCTTCTATCCTCCGTGGTCATTGTCCAACTCTCTGATGCATAACAGGTGATTGCAAAGACCATGGCCTGTATCAGACGCACCTTAGTCTCCAGAGAGACACCACTGCTCTTCAGCACTTTGGAGAGGTCCCTAAGAGCAGACTTTCCCATGGCAATGTGCCTTTTAATTTCCTGGCTGCTGGTGCCAAGACTGTTGACTATGGAGCCAAGCAAACTAAAGCTGTGTACAATCTCTTCACCATCCATCCTGATGCTGCCAATTGGTCCAGTGGTGAGAATCTTTGTCTTCTTGACATTGAGCCTCAATCCATATTGTAGGCTGCAGTCCTTGACACTCTGCAGCAGGCGCTTCAGGTCCTCCTCAGTTTCAGCAAGCAGGGTTGTGTCATCCGCATAACGCAGATTGTTGATAAATCGTCCACCAATCTTGATCCCACATTTCTCCTCATAGAGCCCCGCCTCCCGGATAATCTGTTCTGCATATAGGTTGAAAAGGTATGGAGATAGGATGCATCCCTGGCGTACGCCCTTCCCAATTTTGAAACATGCAGTGTTCCCTTGCTCTGTTCTGACGACTGCCTCCTGGTCCAAGTATAAGTTTTGCATTAGAACGATCAAGTGTTCTGGGATTCCCATTCTTCTCAGAGTCAGCCACAGTTTGTTATGATCTACACAGTCAAATGCCTTTGCATAGTCAATGAAACACAGATAGACATTCCTCTGGTATTCCCTGCTTTCAGCCAAGATCCATCTAACATCAGCTACAATATCTCTAGTACCACGACCCCTTCTGAAACCAGCCTGGACTTCTGGTAGTTCTCTGTTGTTGTGCTGTTCCAGTCGTTTTGGATAATCTTCAGTAAAATCTTGCTTGCATGTGAAATCAGTGAAATTGTTCTGTAGTTTCCACATTCGGTTGGGTCGCCTTTCTTTGGGATAGGAACAAATATCGATCTCTTCCAGTCAGTTGGCCAAGTGGTCGTTCTCCAGATTACAAGGTATATATACCTTGTAATAACATGAAGCCTGCTTAAAAGGTTCTAGGTAGGGACAGTATGGCTGATTTTAGCTTTATTGACCATTTCTTTCTTCTCTCAAGGAGCTTTCTTATCTATCCTGTTCAGCCCACCTTGCTCTCTCATTATTTGCACCAAATAGTTTCTTACGGTTATTCTTTGCCCAAGTATTTGTACAGCACAAAGGGCAGAGAGGTCACAAAGAATTTAGATCATATATTGTCGGCCACGTATTTACTCAAGAGAAATGAGGAAAACAAGGAGAAAAAGGGAAGTGGCAGGAAAGATTTATGGAGCAAGCGCAGAGCTTCCTGTCTCCGCCTATGGAGACAAGAAAGGATGGGTGGACAGTGTCTTCGATGTCTTAGTCTCATTATATGTCATTTGTGCCAGTTCTGGTTGTTAACCAATAAAGGAAAAGCCATGCAATTCTACAGTTCTACATATCATTTACTTTGAAGACATTTTTAACTCATGATGACTGGATTTGTGGCCCAGCGAAGGTGGCCAGTTAAACTCAGCAAAAACGTAGAATCAAGTTTTCACATTTTGTGGCAAGATGGAGTTTGCATTTCTCTGCAAAGCAGAACTAGGCATTTTACGCCAAAAAAAGATGCTGAAGGATGGTGTCTGAAATATCACTAGCACATATATTAAGAGACAGGTAACTCAGTCCAAGAAAATAGAAGGTTACTGAGTTGTATTCAAGGATCAGCTGAGGTGGTAAGATGACAAATAGCAGCATTAATTGCAGGCAAGGAGCCCTGATGGTGCACATTTGGCTGCTAACTGGTAAGTTGATGGTTCCTACCCACCAGCTGCTCTGCAGGAGCAAAATGTGACCACCTGCATTGCATGGAGATCACAGCCTTGGAAACCCTATGGAGCAGTTCCACTCAGTCCTATAGGACGTTATGAGTTAGAATCAACTTGCAGGCAAGGTCTGGTTCTTGGTTTTTAATTCTTGCGTAGGAGACCCAAAGCAGCACAAATATAGGGAAGGAAGCCCTGGGTAGTGTAGTCTATTCCCCAAATGCCAGTCACTGAAAACCCTGGGGGGGGGGGTAGCTCTTCTGTGAGGTGGAAGTGACTTCAAAGCAAATGAGCTGTGAAACTGTAGAACTGTGTGGTTTTCCTCAACCAGTTAACAACCAGCACTGGTAGAAATGAAGTATAATGACAGCAAGAAATTGAAGCTACTAGCCACAAAGTGAATGTTGTGAAAGATCACAGAAATAAGAGAGACAAGAAAAGAGCTAGAAACTAGGAGAGACCTGTGAAGTGAAGGGAACACGATAGTCTGTGTGGTTAAGAGAAGTCTGAACACTGTCCTGGTCTCTCCTCAAAACTTGCACAGACAGGAATGCAAGGAATAGTTATAAGTAAACACATACTTATTAAGAGGAAGTTAAAAGTTTATTTGTTAAAAAGACTTCAACAATGGGATATCATCTCCCTCCAGAAACAATGGCAAAGTTCAAAAGGACAGCAAACAACAAACATGAGTGAAGAAGCGGAGAGACTGGAACTGTCATACACTGCCGGTGGGAATGTAAAATGGTACAAGCACTAAGGGAGGCAGTCTGATGCTTCCTCAAAAGGTGGAAATGGAAATATCATTTGAACCAGCTATCTACTACCGGAAATACATCCTAAAGAAATCAGAGCTGTGACACAAATAGATGTATGCATACTCGTGTTTATTCCAGCATTATTCACAATAGCAAAACAAGAAAGAAATCTACAGAAAAACTATGGTACATTCACACAATGGAATATAATGCAGCAAAGAAAAAAAATGAACTTGTAAAACACTACATAACACAGATATGTCTGGAAGAAATTATGCTTAGTGAAATATCCTCTGTCACAAAAGGACAAATACTCCAAAAGACCATTGTTTTAAAATGAGGATGAGCTGGGAGAGGTAGGGAGAATGGACAGATAATGAACACTACCATGAAAGGCATACAGTCCTATGCACCAACTGCTCCCCAAAACAACGATAGGGAAACTCCTCATGTGTGATTAACTGCCTCTGAAAACCCCCTGGAAGATCAGCTAATGGGCAGTTCTAACTTGACAGTGCACGACAACACTGTAAAAAATGAAGTGAAGGATAATCTAAAAGGGATGGACACTAAAGCATTTTATGAGTTACAATGAATCTACAATATGACTTGCATTACAAAGCCAACTGAGGGAGAGGTAGGGAGGAAAATGTACATGAATTAATATATGAAACCCACCCAACCTCTTTGTAAACTTCCACTAAAAGCACACACATAAGAAAAAAAGACTTCAATATTTTAAGCTTATTCTAAGAGAAAAGTAGAGAA